GAAATGGAATGTTAGGTGCTGTCTGTTCATTGTTGAATCTTGATAGTTGATATTGTAATGTATTGAATCTATTGAAGTACTGATGTGAATAGTTGATACTGTAATATATTATCAATTTAGTATGATGGTTTTTATATTTAATATGTACATTATAGATTTAATTTAATTTTTTTTTTTTTTTTTGATGATATGGTCTTTAAGTTTAATATGTATATTATATATTTAATTTTTTTTTTTTTGTTGGTATATATAATTTGGAGAAAAGAATAATAAAAGTATAAAACTAAGGATACAAAAAAATCCCAAACGGGGAATTCGGGGAAAGAGTTTTTTTTTGGGGATTCCCCAAACGGGCTTCAACTCGGGATCAGGGAATCCCCTTGGGCTTTCGGGTCTGGGCCAGAGACAATGGTCCCCGACCCGTGCCCATCCCTATCTATAAGTCCCATGGACAGGTAAGTTACATATGTGGTAGGTAGCCACCAGGTGGGAGTCGAACAAAAGACTTCTGAGTAATATAAGGTCTTGCCATCCAACCACAAAGCAAGTGGTTTACTCTCAATTTTGATGGAATCTAGAATCTACCATAGGGTATTGCCAACTTTCTTCTTAGGATGGGTGGCGAAACCAAGAAATTGTAATTGGGAGGGCTAAATAATAATAAAAATGTTTTATGGGATGAAAGGTTATATATAAATTTTGAAAATTTTTGTGAGATTTATATGATAGTCAAATATGTGAGTTATAGCTATATTGTCGTCCACTTTAGGTTCAAGTACGTGGCAGGATTTACTTTTGGGTTTCATGCAAGCAATTTAATCATTAGTATTGGCTTTCAAATAGCTAAACAACAAGAAATACGATTTGTGGGATTTTATATATAAATTTGAAATTTTTTGTGGGACTTGGGGTGATTGTCAAATATCGAGTCTAAACCAAATTTCTAACTCATTTACTAGCAATGTGGAATGCAAACAACTCTTCAACTTAATTATGGACCTCAACACCATGGTTTTAAAACTCGGCCCGGCCCGGCCCGACTAGTTTAACCGATCGAATCGAGACTCGAGGCCTTCACTAGGTCGGGCTATCACTTTCAATTATTCACCCTAAACCCTAGAATTATGGATGACGATTGACGAACATACAGTGACAATTATATTGGGGGTTTTGGAGAGGGAGAGGCGGTGAGTCCAAAGGTGATGAAGGGAGTGATTTCTGATGAGTGAATTGACTGGAAAAAGCAAAGATGGGTCGGCCAAAACAACGGGCTATTTCATGCGATTGGCGGAGTGAATGGGGAGGGTTGAGATGGGTTTTGGCTTGGAGGCTTAGGAGAGTGTTTTCATGGTGATTGGAGAGTGTTTTCATCGTCGAAGACAAGGCCCTATTTGGCCTAGATTGTTGACGCTGACGGTAGTATTTGGAGTGTTTTTGTAGGATTTCAAACTTATAGGGATTTATATGTAATTTGTAAGGGTATTTTTGTTAGATTTTAAACTTTTGGACATGCTAACATTACCGATTTGACTTGTCGGTCAAACTGATTCAATTGGTCAACTAGGGACTTAGCCACTTTGCCGAGTCTCACCTCGGGCCGAGTTTTAAAACCTTGCATCTGCCAACTATCGAATCAATTCATATTACATCCCATTAGATTGCAAGCCTGCTCACGTTGTCAACAGTCAAATCCTAAGTTCAACCGAGTAGAAGTCGAACATTTTGGAAATTTGACTTAATACGGATTTGCTTTTAGGCTTTACGCAAGTGTTCTTTACCTTAAGATAAACGGTCAAGCTATTGGACACCATTTATGATCCCTATTGGCCTAAAACCTGTAAGATCTAAATTATCAAATGGTTTATGATGGCAACTAGAGAGCAGTTTTGAAACTCTCCAAGCTCCAACTCATTGACAGATTAAAAACCATTAAGTTAGTCAACCTTTCTGTACTTCATAGCGCACTACAGCTGGAGATTTCATTGAATGAATATACAAATAACCTGGCATACAACAATAACCCACCATTGATCTGCCCAATAATAACCCCCTTAATAAAATAATCAAATATATTTCTCATAAAATTTTCTCAGAGTTCCATGCTTACACATTGAACCAGGACAGTGATGGCGGTCTCGTCCATGCTTTATCACAACCTTGAGCCCCATGAACACGCAATTATTATATTTCAACAAAACAGTGCATTTCATTTGAAATCATTTGTTATATTTTTGTAAAATTCGGATTAAACTAAATATATATTGTTTGTAATAATCTAAGTTTAGTTTGGACAGTTTTCCTTTTAGATTTTACCTGATTCATTTTCATCAAATACCTCTATTTAAAGACCCGAAACTTAAAAATTTACTATTTTTTTCTATGATGAAATACAACAAAATAGAAATTAGTTCACTTATACAAACATAACTTCTAACACCCTTCCTCATATGCTCGACGTACAAGGCAAAGAGTTTACTGGGGTCCAAACCTATATCAAAGCCATATGGCCAGAGGTAGCACTCTCCTTCACGCTCGGCATATCAAAGCCACATGGTTAGGGGTTCGTCAGAGTTCAAACCTATTAGAGCCTTGAACAAACGTGATTTTGGTATCATAATAAACGGGCTTGGATATGTTAAACTAATTTGACTTATTTAATAACTTTATTTGCTGAATCAAGACGTCTTATTTGGCACATTTATTAGTTTAAACCAATAAGTATATTTTAAAAGAGTAATATTAGATGTACAAACAAATTTTATCAAGATTTTATACAAACTGATGTGATAGAAAATGAATAAAAGAATAAATATGATGAATTCGACTTTTTATATTCATTTTTTCATTCATTTGTATAGAAATTTTTATAAGATTTGTTTATACGTCTAATATTATTGATTTAAAAAGCACATGAGATGGAGATTCTAGATCATTGACAGCCATATACCGAAAGGCAGAAACCCAGATCAAGAAAAAGCCAAAATCCTGAGTTTTCTCTTTCAAATCACACTCTCTGCAGCAACAACGGCACTCGTGCAACTCCTACTATAAAACTAATATTCTCTCCTCTAGATTGTCGTTAAGTAATCAAGATTCCTGTAAATCCTAAACTTTAAACACAAAGGAATGCTTTCATTTCATTATGATAATCAAAAAATTATTCTCCAGGTTTAGAAAATTACGTGCATTTGCATGCATGCACGTGCATGTCCTCAACTAGGCAATAGATTAGTTGACTTCATTAATGAAGTTAATAATAATTGTTGATAGATTTAAGCTGTTTGTTATCTGGACGAGGCAGCAGGAGTAAACAGGAATATATGCTAATTATTCGCTAATCAGACTCAGTAATAATAATCAAGTTAATTAGAATTAAGGTAGAGAGAGAGAGAGAGAGAGAGAGAGCACATTAAGCTGTTGCTTGGCTGGGATTAGCAGAAAAGCATCTGAGTTTATTAGTAAATATTGTTTTCATCATGGGAAGATCTCGAAGTTAAGCTTTTGGGTGCACACGGTAATTGGGTCGGTTTGCGTATACTTTGACTAATTCAAACTAAAGGAGAAAGCTAGGATGATTTAAATACCGTGTACTTTCAACATACATCCTAACATTTATCCTATCACTTGAGCTATCCAATGATAGATTATATTATAAAACATAAAACTTACAATATTTGACCTAAATCATTAAAAAAAAAAAAAAAAAAACCCATCACTTACAAATGCTTTACTTTGCACTTGAAGTTAAGCTTTTAGGTAAACATGGTGTTTGAGTTAGTTTACGTGTACTTCGACTAATCTCTGTAGGTGATTAAAGGAGAAAACCAGTGGGATTCAAACATGCACCATGCGCCTTAATCACAAATCCTAGCACTTGTCTTACCACTTGAACCATTCAAAGGTGAATTGTATTATAAAACGTAAAACGTATAATATTAGACCTAAATCATAAAAAAGAAAAAAGAAAAACCAACACTTATTTCCCAAATATATTCATTGCTTCTTCGAGAATATAAGTTCATGACCCATGAGCCTTGTACCTCCCTACCATATTGCTTTGTCAAGTTTCAATTTTTTCGCACTTTAATACTGAAACAAGCTTTGAATATTACATCAAACATATCACGAAATATTATTTCCGGCTTGAGCCTAAACTTTCCGCAAATTATATGTGAAGTTAAGAGCTCAAGTTATATATATCAACCATCAATTTTTTACCCGTTTCAGACTAAATCATCATATGGAATTACCAAATCAAAATTTAAGAGTGTTCAAAACCGGTTAACCAAACCGGTTTTTCGGTTCAAGAATTTTTTTGAATCGAAATCGAACCGGTTAAGGAGAAAACCGGTTTTTCGGTTAAAAATAAAGCTGTTTTTTTTTAATTTAATATTTTTATAATAAATTGGTTAGTAAAACCTGTTTCGGTTGACCGATTTCCATATTCTCCCAAACCAGCAACCAAACCGAAAATTCGGTTTTTTATTTTCTTTGAATTGAAACCGAACTGGTTTTTCAGATAACCGAAAATTTGGTCTAGTTACAGTTTGATTATTCGTTCGGTTCGGTTTTTGTTTTTTGATTTTTTTTTTTAAACACCCTTACCAAAATTTAGCTTGGGAAGTTAAAAATTTTACTTTACAAATAAAGCCTAACAACAAAATCATTCCAAATTGAACTAGCACAAAATAACATGGCTGGCCCAATCATGGTTAGAATTGGAAGACATGCCAATCATTCTGGACTCAAACCATGCTTGCCCCCATTGAAACTTGGGCCAATCTTCAGAGAAATGGACTCAAAATCTGCAGAATATCCCACAAAAGATGCCATGCCCACCCATCCATCCCTCAAAAGACAGTGATTGTTCAAAGTCAAAAAAAGTCCCTTTCGCTTCTCCATTTCCACATTAACAGTAACTCCCCCATCCGTCAAATTTTATACATAGCCATCCAACATATCCACAGCTGCCATACTAAGACCTGACCTGACCAAGCCAACCCAGAACTAAGAAACCAAGAAAAAGACAAAAATTAAAAAGAAAGTTGCGAAATGAAAACAATACATTAACCCTTCATGAATACATAAATCAATCATACCCCAATATTTCTTCTCCTTCAGCACCACCTTTTCAAGATTCTGAGTACTATTTTTACCTTTTTTTGTTTTTTTTAATTTTATTTATTTTTGCTTTCCTCTTCTGATCCTGAAAAAAACTTTAATCTTTTTAGCTTTACTCAAGTTTTCTTCATCACCCACCAGGAAAACATAATCAAGATTAGATTTTTGGAGCTTTATTCAAAGTTTCTGCAACACCCCACCAGAGAAATAGCTTAAGGGTTTGTTTTTTTACTTGATCCAAAGCAATGGAACCACCAGAAAGTTATGTTGAAAACACAGGTTTTGAATCAGCTGAGAAGATTATACTGAGATGGGATTCAACAGCCTCGGAAGAAGCAAGGGAGAAAATGATTTTTGAAGGTGATAGATATGAAGTGGATCGGTACTTACAAGCTGTGGATGAAATCCAACGGTCAATATCATCCACAAGTATCTCTGATGATGCTCAAACGAAAGTCAACTCTGCTATTCAGATCGCCATGGCTAGACTTGAAGATGAGTTTAGAAATATTTTACTTGTTAACATTAATGCTTTGGATGTTGAGTCTCTTTCAGCTGATCCCGGTTCCTGCACTTATTCAAGAACTGATAGTGAAGTACTAATTGAAGATCAAGATGATCAGTTTGATCGAGAACAAGATGATCAATTTGATCGAGAACAAGATGATGTTTTGAAGCACAGTGAGTCAAGTACTACTGTTGCTTCATCTAGTTACAGGTCAACAAGTTGTATAAGGGAGATAGATCTGATACCAGAGGAAACCATTGAGGATCTTAAGTCAATTGCTCAAAGAATGATTGCTGCAGGGTATTTAAGAGAGTGTATTCAGGTGTATGGAAGCGTGAGAAAGTCAGCAGTGGATGCAAGTTTCAAGAGATTAGGAGTTGAGTATTGGAGATATTCAAAGACTTGAATGGTAGTTTGGAAGTGAGAAAAGGTTGTGTGAGCAAATCTTTGAAAGGGTTGGAACATCTATTGATGATGCTTGTTTTATGGAGACAGTGAAAGGGCCTGCTGTTCAGTTGTTTAATTTTGCTGAGGCTATTAGTATTAGCAGGAGATCACCAGAGAAGTTGTTCAAGATATTGGATTTACATGATGCTTTGGAGGAGTTGTTGCCTGATATAGAGGTTGTTTTTTATTCAAAATCTTCGGATTCGATTCGAGTGCAGGCTGCTGAGATTCTTTCGAGATTGGCTGAGGCTGCAAGAGGGATTTTATCAGAGTTTGAGAATGCTGTTTTGAGGGAGCCATCAAGGGTTCCAGTGCCTGGAGGAACTATTCATCCATTGACTAGGTATGTGATGAATTACATCAGTTTGATTTCTGATTATAAGCAGACTTTGATTGAGCTTATAGTGTCAAAACCATCTACTGGTTCTAGATATTCGGGTGATCCTACGACCCCGGATATGGATTTTTCTGAATTGGAGGGGAAGACCCCATTGGCACTTCATTTAATATGGATAATTGTGATTTTGCAATTCAATTTGGAGGGTAAATCCAAGCATTACAAAGATACATCTTTAGCACATTTGTTTATGATGAACAATGTTCACTATATTGTTCAAAAGATAAAAGGCTCACCTGAATTGAGAGAAATGATTGGTGATGATTATTTGAAGAAGATGACTGGGAAGTTGAGGCAGGCCGCGACTAATTACCAGAGAGCAACTTGGGTGAAGGTTTTGTATTGCTTGAGAGATGAGGGTCTCCATGTGAGTGGGGGGTTTTCATCAGGAGTCTCAAAGAGTGCTTTGAGAGAGAGGTTCAAGTCCTTCAATGCTATGTTTGAGGAGGTTCATAGGACTCAAGCAGTATGGTTGGTACCGGATTCTCAGCTTAGGGAGGAGCTAAGGATATCTATATCCGAAAAGTTGATACCAGCTTATAGGTCATTTCTTGGCAGGTTCAGGAGCCATATAGAGAGTGGAAAACATCCAGAGAATTACATCAAGTACTCTGTCGAGGACTTGGAGAATGCTGTCTTGGATTTCTTCGAGGGGTGCCCTGTATCCCAGCACTTAAGGAGGAGATCACAGTGAAGGAATGAAGTGAGTTTGGCCACGTTAGAATCTAGGACACATTCTTTATATTCTTTTTGGAGTGTTAGGGTGATGTGATGCTTGTCAGTCTGGGCTGCCGCCTGCTCTCCAATTCTTCTAAACTTTGTTGGTTAAATTTCCACCTGTTAAAACGCATCAAATTCTTTGGGAAGATAAGGTTTAGCTCTCCAGAAAAAGCCAGGTCCCTCAACCTGAATGCTTCTGCATTTTACGCGCTATAATTGTTTTGTTACCACATTTTAGATTTTTTTATTTCCATTTGTTCATATGGTTATTGTTGAATTTCAAGTGTGTTCTCTATTACTATCTATGATATGAGGAAGAAATTTTTCTTTTTTCTTTTAAATAGCGCTGCATTTCTTTCAACCATATTATATTCATGTTCTTGGTTAAATGTATATGTTGTCAGTAAGTGTTGCAGCTTCTTGGTGTTTGATTAGAAGGAACTAAGCATTGTAGGGTAGTTCTTAGTTCCTTAATATTTGATAAGGAAATAACCCGTTTATGGGATGTTTATGTTTACTTTTATAAAGTTCTTGTCAATAACACAACATGAGAAAACGTTGAATATTCGTCTTTGTGATAGATCTTTTTCCTGTTGAAGATCTTTAAAAGTTTCTTCTTTAAAGTCATGATGTCTGTGAGTCTCCCTAGATTAGAGCGTAATTCAAGGAAAATAATGCAAGCCACAAGTCTAGGAATAGGAAGAATCCTAAAGAAACTGAGGTTTAGCTAACCAACTTGTGGAAAAATTAATTGATTGCATTGATCTTGATAGACACCAATAACGGTAAATCCGCAGCGGAGAATATTAGTCTTAACAGTTCTTCCATATGTTTTGATATGCAGTTCACTTATATGTTCAAATTTATGAATGTTTCCAAAAAATGGAGGATGTAGACAGATTTTTATGCCATATTAGATGCCCAGTTGTTTACCTGGAAACCCTTCTGTTGAGTCTCTGGTTTCTTAAATAATCACTTGCATACATAACATCAACATCAATGGTCCATTCTATAAGAGTTGTTTTAAAGCTTCAATGTTTGATTTCAACCATTGACTGCTTGGACTTTTTCTTCCTTTCTTCTTCCAATTTGACCAACCACATCCTGCCCTCAGTAAACCAAGCACAGCCTGACCCTAAATCAGGCTCAAAGACATCAAAATTGATTAAAACATGAAGGAAATAGGGAATTGTTCTCCAAATCCACCAGGCTGCTTGAGTAACAGATAAAAGTATATAACGCGATATTACATCATCCATACAACTAACCAAAAATTTAATTTCAAATATACATCATAATCTTATAATTTATCTTATCAATCAGTATGATTGAGGGTTTTTGTATCTAGTTGGCTTAATCATATTGGTTTGTAGTGGTCCTAATTCTGGAACAGTCCACCATTACCAAAGTGATTATCAAAGCAATGCCAATTGCCATCTTTAGTTGAGAGTCTAATAATTATTGGGTACTCATTTATTGATTGTGCACATGAAAAGCCAAAAAAAATAAAAAGCAAAAGATCATTTGGGTTACTTTTTGCTTTGTGGCCTACAGCAACTGGGAAAAATATATAAATAGATTCCTGCATACTTTTTGATGAACTGATCACACTTTTTACCAAGGAACAATTTCCAACTGGAGGGTACATCGATGTTGAGTTCAGGAAGGTAAACATTTCCAAAGACCATATCTTCCTTTCTTACATTTTTTCTTAGACATTGATTTTTGTGGATAATCAACCATAAACTTTTACCTGCAAGTCATAACCTTGTCATTTTTTTTTTTTTTCCAGTTTATATATATATTTTTGGCAGTACTTTGCCAATTTAACCTCTTATTTCACCTCCAATCTCAATAACTTTTATTATTGTCCAAGAGTAATACTACACCCATAACCCAATCTCACAACCTTCTCTTACAATCCCAACATGACAGCTAAATTGGTAATTGTCACGTCAGCTCTCATCACACCTAAAACACTAAATGACTTTGACTAAACACGAACGACCATTCTTTCATAAGGAATAATTGTTTCTTTGGTTAAGGAATATTGTTCCTTACGAAGGAACACTCGTTTCATTATAATCATTCCTTATGAATAGAACAACCATTCTTAATGAATAAATGATCGTTCGTCTCTAAGGAACGATCGTTTATGTTTAGTCAAAATCGTTAGTTAACGTGATAATGACAACTCTACTGCCACATTAGGATTGTAAGGATTGTGAAAGAATGTTATGGAATTATGCTATATAATTCTTAGTATTTTTTATTGTCCAAAGTGGGCACACAAAGTACTCAAAATCGAGTCTCAATCTTATCCTAAATGAAAGATTCAATGATGTGATAGAATATGTAAAGATCAATCGTCAGAATCGCAGTGTATTAATGATTTTGCAACTACTTAGGGTACAGCCCAAGTCAAAGTCACCTAGGGTAGTTTAGAATATAAATGCAACAAGAATATTCAAAGAACTCATCAAATCTGATTACCATAAGACCATTCTGGAGGAGATATAAAGAAACAACATCGACAATAGAAACAACAGGTAACAAGCTATACTTGTATTGTAAAACAGAAAACAATTCTCAGTAGTCTCCTTCAAAACTTGACAACTAAATGTAAAAACTAAACATGGTAGAAACAAGGTGATTTATAAGCGGATGAAGAAAAGAAATAAAGACTAACCCAAGCTGTAATCCGACCTGCAGAGGACTTCAGCTTGTCATAATCCCCATCTGGATTTAAAATTCTACGTGTCGATTCAGTAGGGAGTTGGAAGTTTATACAACAATAACAAGGCTACACAGTTTAGGAATCAAACAATTGAATCCATATTACATCATGGCTGAATTTTCTTTACTCTGTCTTGTCTTCTTCCAAATCACTGTTCAGTGTTCCATTGTCGCTTTGAACCATTCTAGGTTCGGGTGCACTTCTAACATCCTTCAAAGGCGTTAGGGAAGGTTTTATGAGAGTCAAATTAGTTTCATCCTTTTCAAAATCTTCGTTTGAGTCTTCGGTATAAGCGTACCTGTTAAGATAAATAAGGGTGCAGCAGGTTAAGATTTAAGGAGGCATAAAGCGAGTTCTAGGACTGTCTAAAATGCATAGATGACACATAAGAGAGGGTACCCAAAGAAGTATAGGGGTAAGAGAAAGGTTTCATACCGCATCGAATTTTGAGAGGGTGCCCAAAGAACACAGATGACACATAAGAGAGAGAAAGATAGGACTTGCCAGAAGGCTGGGACGATCCAGGCATTCTGCCAAAGCTCATTGTAAACATCTTTTGACTTGAAATAGAGCTGCAATCAGAGAGTTAGCCAAATATGTATAAAGAGAAAATCTGAAGCAAAACACAGAGTAACATAACAAAATCAGATCCAAATAAATCCATAATTTGTATTACCTCATAGCATATCCAACCAACAGACACAATGACAGTTACTGCCAAAGCATTTGTGAACTTCCGGTATATATCCAGCTTAACCATCATTCGTCTAGCCTGTCACATCACAACAGAGAGAGAACATTATCACTTTGCTCTTCTTTTACAGTTCAGATATCATTAACAGTTATCCAAATACACAACCACCAAAGGAAAAAAAGTAGAAATGGATTTGGCATAACAAGAAGCCAAGCTTTTCCAACCTAAATCTCTTGTAAATGGCCTAAACATAAAAAAAAGGGTAACAAAATTTACTCATCAGGTCCTGAACATATTAAATAGAAAATGGACTTGTAAATACTGTGCCACTTCAAATATCATATCATTCATTTATATGTCATGCTAATAACTATTAAATAACAACACAGGAAATCTCATATTAAACTATAAGGAAGATTGCTAATGAAGTGGACACCCTTGAGCATGGAACTTAAGTACCTGAAGTTTATTTAAAGTTGCAGAGAGGGAAGTAAATATCCAAAGAATGAAGAAAGCATCCAAGATTGCCACAGGAAGAACCAGAAACAGTCTTGCCTTTCCTGAGAGATCACTGACAGCACCAACATTTTCCACCAATTCAAGCACTTCAGATGCCAAGAAGAAGGTTGCTCCAAGCATGATCACCTTTGATGTAAGACCACCTAAGGTAGGTCTCACAACACCATAGCCCATGGAAACCATAAGAATGATAAGGCGTGCAACTGTACGTTTAACAGCACCAAAAGTGACTGCCCATACAGTGATCCCCGTTGGCCTGACCCCAGTCTCGTTGAATTCAGCATACTCAAAATACCAAAGAGCCATTTCAAACATACCCAGTGTTATAACTAGTGTTATGCAGTTCTGCAGGGTAAGAACTTCTCTCCAAAATCTGGCATACTGTGAGAACCAGAATAATCCAAGTATCACAAAACCAAGGGACATGTACCCATAGAAATTCATTAGTGGTGCCATTCTGCCAGGCAAATAGCCAGTAGGATTCTTCCATATCGTTTTCCCCTCTACGACCAAATCTTTAAGATTCAAATCACAGTGAATGAAGTATAAGTTATACATCCCAGTTTTAGTAATATGTATTGATTTTGAGGGCAATGTTGCAACTTCCTCATCTACTTGAAATGCGACACCAAACACCTGAGGCCAACTGGGGTCATTTGTGGAAGGCCGGTGAATGATTTCTCCCTGTGTGCAAACACCCAGCTTTGCTAGATCTGCTGTGCAACAGACAGCTCTTTGGCCCCCATAGGCTGAACCCCCAATTGCTTCTCTATCTTCCACCTCGAAAACAAGGGCTTGAATCAACCCTGAGCTGATGTTGGCATTTTCCTTTGATCTCCAAAATGTAATTTTCTCAAAACTAGTTTCCAATTACCATATAAGAAAATCAACAATTGAACAATTGGTATTTAGTATTTAATGTTGAATACAGAGCAAAAAATCATATACAATATTCCCCATCAAAAAAATGAAAAAGAAACAAAATTTATCTTGTATCAAGTTCAAGTTCTTAGAAGCTTTATTGTCAAAAACTAGAAACTATTGAACTTATTTAATCTTTTTCTCTAATTGCATAATGAATTATCTGGTCTTGCTACTAAGTTCATGAATGCTATAGTTTATACTCTGCTCATTCTGACTACTTAAAATACGAAACCTGCACTTACATAAATGCAAAAATGATTATCTTCCTCAAGAGATCAAGAAAATGCAGATGTAGTTATGTTACTCATTAATATCCATGCGAATTGAAACAGCAAACAACTTCAAAGACATGGATATGCTAACAAATATCTCTCAGTGCCTGCAGATACTAGCCATAAATTAAAACACACTTCGAACGATACGGTTAAGCAAATCAGGCCACAAACACATAAAAACTACATTTAGTCATGCTACTATTTCACTTCTATACACTATAATCTTAGAAATACTTGGGGAACACCACTCATAGACCATCAATTTAAAAGAAAAATAAACAACTTAGCCAGCGAACTTCTTAGTTTTAGTCCATTGTTCCCATCTTTACTTCAAATTTTCGCCAATGAGACAATCTCAATTTCAGATTCTTATCAAACCTCAGCAAGTCCTAACAAAATCATCAGCAGCACAAACCACACATAAAAGCACAAAATTTAACAACTTATCACACCACTTCATCCACTAAAATCAACAAAAACCAATAAATCATTCACCAAAAGCCCATAAATCCACATACTAAACCGCCAAGATTTAAAAGAAAAAGAAATGGGAATCATTACCGTATATAAGCGTCTCCATTATTAGCCTTCTCATTGGAAGTATCATCAGAGACAGAAGAGTAAATCCCTTCACTGCCTCCATGCACCACAAAGGCATTACCTTTACTCACAAATTTCTCTTCTTCATACTCATGGACCGAAGCTTCAACAGTACCCAGATAGAAAAACGAACTCAGAAGCAAAACCAAGCTGCATAGCTTCATAAACATGGTGTGTGGGTGAGTTCTTCTGGATCTGCTGCTGTCGAGTGTCAAAAAGAGGAGAGTTGAGATCTTGTTTGAGAGTCAAAAGTGAAAGAGTGTGAGGTAAGATTTTGGAAGTAAGTCTAAGAGTTTGTTGAGAGACTTAAACAGTGTACCACGGATTCAGGGAGGTTTTACTGTCTCTGCTGTGTTTGAGTGTTTCCTTGGTAAACAACAGCTGTCGCGATGTGGCCCACGTTTCTTAACTTCACGGGTGTCATTGTTATTTTCCTAACTCTTGGGGTCTTTAACATTTTGAAAATTCAGAGTTGCCATGAATTTTGCAGAAAATTTTTAAGGAAAAATTTTCATTAGAATTTCTTTATCTAATATTTTGTAATGGGTATGAACCTATTATATTATTAATAGGTTCATAAACCGGCCTGGACATCCCGTTCATCATAAAATAAAAAATAAAAATAAAAAAAGGCAGCACTAAACTATGACTTAAAATTGGTGTTTACATTTACTTAACAGCATGTAAAAATCTTCTTAAAAAATTTAGAAATAGTTAGAGATCCCTTCTAAAATTTATTATGAACCTTCTTTGAAACTTTTGAAGGCCAGCCTATGTTTTGATGGAATCGTAGAAAAAAGTGAGTGATTGAGTTCAATGAGTAAACGTTTAAGCTTTCATTTCTGCTGATGCGTAGGTAAAACGCAGGGTCCGTTTCAAGGGCTGCTGGTGCTGGGGTATATTTGCGCTGACCAACTAGGTACTGTCCAGAAGTTTTATGCATAGTTCTTACATCTCCAAACTCCAATTACATAGAACCCGATTTCCAAATATCCAAAAAAGCCTTGGATAGAATAGACGTACCCTTTCTTCTAAAAGTTCATCCACTCATACTTCAGATACACATTATTTTGAAATAAATGCATATTTGATTTGATGTATGTATGAACGAAGTATTAAACCCGTTCCACATAAGACTTTGCATCAACATCAATAGTTTTCAAGAAGAAAACCTTTGATTCTATCTTAGACAGAGGTAATGTTTCAGAACCTTCACCTATGGGAATATTTGTTTCATGATCTAAATACACTTCCATTGTTCTATCAGGAAAGAGAAGAGTAAGAAACAAAATTTTCTTTTTTATCTTTTTTAAACTAAAAATTGTTTGATTGGAATCTCTTCACAAATAAGACTAAAGTGAAAGTTTTTCTTCCTAGCATTTCTTTTGGAAGGAGAGGAGAACATTATAACAGAAAAGAGAAACCGATTTGATATATATCAACCAACAATATCAGTACTACAGAGTAAATGACAAATCATAAAACAGGCATTCTTCTAGAAAATTGTTCAAAGATTTGAGAGAGTTAATATCCACTGTCAATGGATTCTCCTGCGCCGCCAACCGCCTAATATTCGCGGAACATCAGGTGCAGGAAGCCAACATGCTAGTCCAAATCCAGGAACTCCATTCTTTTCCTCATTGTACCTTTGAGATCTGATGCCTCCCTCTCTGCTTTTTGTGCCTGAAAAATGTTACAACACAGGCAAATCATAAAGTATATGTTAAATCCACACAATTGGGAATCTGCAGTATTTGAATCTCAGATATATGTAATATAAGGCCGCAAGTATAAGCAAAGACTTCAGTAAATTTGTCAACCTAAACACTACCATCTCTTCATTATCACCACGGTTATAAGTATATGGTGTCATCAATGTTTCACTCTAGTGGATTTGATAGGAACCCACTCCAACAACTCAAAACAATTGGCCTGGGCAATGGGTCTTTCATGGGCTTGAGTAAAACTCTCTTTGAAAAATCGGCTTGCCAAGGGAGGATGCCAAAACCTTTATAACCCACATGCCCACCCTTTTCCCTTCCAATGTGGGATCCTAACATTCCATCACGCTTCCGCGACTGATGTCCACATTGGCCTTTTAACCCCTTGGGTAACTTCGCGAACCCCTTACTTCGGGCCGATCCGCCCTTCTTCGGGAGCAACCCAGGCCCAAGGTTAGCCTACCACAGGTCAGCCTATCACGCATGCGCAGCCACGTAGGCGCGGGATCATGCCTTGACACCAATTGATAGGAAGCCACTCCAACAACTCAAACAATTGGGCTGGGCAATGAGTCTTTCATAGGCTTAGATATAACTCTCCTTGGAAAACCGGCTTGCCAAGGGAAGGTGCCCAAGCCTTTATAACCCACATGCCCAGCCCTTTCTCTTCCAATGTTGGATCCTAACAGGATTTCATAAAAGTATATTCTATAAGAACTCACATAAGGACAGACTTAGGGGCAGGATCTTCAGCTGTCTAATTTTGTACAATAACATGTCACACATTGTTGTTGATGTCAACTCTCAAACTAACAGTTGTGACTGCAATTCATTGAATGTGGTCTAATCTATCACTAGCAACGAATATTCTAAGCAAGGTAACTATGTTAAGAAAGGAGAATTGATGACCACCGAGTGAGATGAGGTCATTCATCTCATAGTCAACAGACAGCAAATTTTTTGTTAAGGAAATAAGTGAATAAAATAATTATAATGCTTACCCTTCTAATTTCTGCAACTGAAACGCGAGTCATGTGTGGAGGAAGCTCCTCCCTCTCCAAGTCCTAAAGTATCAAATGCAAATCTTATGAGGATACAAGAAAGTGCACCCTAAAGAGAATATTCATAGAAATCAAACAAACCAACAAGAAGTCATACCAGCTCACCAATTAAAACAACATTCTCCCCACGGATCACATATAGACCTAATGGGATGTCGCAGTAAAGGTCACCAACAATAACTCTATCACATGCACTCTCAAGAACGGCATTGGCTGCACAAAATAAATATATAATTATCAGACATTGATATGTATTAGCATGTGACAATCTAAAATATAACACGAATTTGAAAAGAGAAAACCATACCAAATTGATCAAATGAACAAAGTGTACCCATAAGTTTTCGACCATCACGAAGCAATACAAGTAGTTTCTCTGCAGCATAAAAACTAGTGTAAGGACCCCAAACAACTAGCCAAAAAAACAAAAGCACTCCATCCCACAATTATTGTAAACAACTATACACATAAGCTAACAGCAATCACCAATCAAATTAACACAGCTTGCCACATCTCTTTAATCACAAACCAAAAGACCTTAACCAATCCATAAGCTATAAAGTTACCCTTGTTTACACATTACCTCCAAAAGGAACTAAACATGCCATAGTATAAGCAATTTCAAGCCAAATTGCTTTTCACAATCACATATTCCACAAAGAAGTAATAACCCAGATAACTCTAAGTGCAGAAGATCGAAAACTTGTTGCATAGACTGGCCTGGATATGGCACGGAGCCCATTACAGCGCCAAAATGAAAACATCTACCAATCACACATGCATGTTAAATGATGTTTCAAGATTGAACATGACATTCCAAGTAACCAAAAGTTGATGTGGGCTACAAAAACTAATCAATTCTTATAAGAATTCCCTCAAAATTCAATAATTGCACCCCAAAAAAAAAAAGGGGAAAAAAAGGATGTATACGAATGTGAAGAGAGGCTTGAACACAAATAATGTCTAAATAATAGCCCAATTTTGAAACATAAACCATAAAACTGAAATAAACACAAACCCAGATGATAGTAAGCATACAAAATCAATCAAAACTCAGATAATCAAAGAGCATAGCAAATTTAAGAATTTAAAAACCTCAAAAGCTGAGACTTTATGAGAGAGCTTACTGTCTAAGTAACTGGCAAGAGAAGTAGAGAGATAAACATCATCTGGGCCTGCCCAAGACATTGATTTCTTCAGTGAGCTTTAATTTTATTCCCGGTATCTCAAAAACGACCGAAAATTTTCCAAAACTACGATCCAAAAATTGCATTGGCTGCCCAAAAGCGCTCTCAGTGAACAAACACAGAACCCTAAACGTTTCAACTTTGTCTAAGAAAGTTCGTTTTCCCCATAATTCGATCGAAAAAAGACCCTTAAATTCGAACTTAAGACGAACCGATATCCCTAAATGATGAAATAAGCTTAATCTATCAAGAAAGCTTCAAACTTTAGTCAATTTGAAGGAACCAAAAACCCTAGAATTGGATTTCTGTTGCAGGATTTTTTATTAATTTTATGGGGTCTCTTCCGGATTGAAGAATGAGGATGTGAGATCCAATCAGTCCGGAAGAGAGCGAAACTGAGGGAAATTTTGGGGGAAATTTTACTGGTAAAATGGGAAACTTGTTTGGCTTTTGTGGGCAATATCACTTTGAACAGTTTTAAGAAGAAAATTTAGCAACATTTTATAACCAATATTCTTCACATTAAACCCTGATATTTATTAATATAAGATTTTTTTTTTTTTTTTTTTGGTGACCGGCCTTACGGGCCAGCTTGCTATACCCCCAATAATTAATTGGGCTCTTGAAATTAACGGATTTTTTGAGTAATGTTATCTTTACCGTTTACACCAACCTTTACAATATTTTGATTATACCATAATCATTTTATTAATAATAATTTTATTATAATATTAAAAACTTAAAATAATTAAAAATTTATGTGGATATGACATATACCACATCTTGATGTAATAAAAACGGTGTAAAGAGTGGTATAAAGGTAACATTACTCTATATTTTTTAGTAGTCATCCCACTATAACATTATAGACATATAGCTACAAAAATTAGCTATAGAAAGGAAAGTTGTAGTAAATATATATTTATAGCTACAAAAATTAATATTTATAGCTAATTGAAATAATTTTAGTGATAAGACTTTCTCCTTCGAAGCTAATATTCATCTTGCTTTAATTTATTAAAATTATGACAATAACTAATCATTTAATTACAATGTATTAGTTATGATAAAACATTGTAGCTAATTAATGTATTTAGTTATAAATATTTTATTTACATTATATATAATATCATTATTAGCTGTAAAGTTAACTATATAACTATTATTTGTGTATTAGCTATAAAATATTGAAATCTGTAGCTAATTAAGATATTTCGTTATACAATTTTTTTTTTTCATGGTAATAATGATTAACTACTAGTTTAAATATATAGCTAGTACGTGTGTATTAATTATAAATTATTTGAATTTATAGTAAATAAATAATGTGAAAATTAATTTGCTACGATCCTTATAGTATGCAATTATAGATATTCTAATTTATTCCGTGAGTAGTTATATTCTTATTACTTATAGATTAAATAGCTATAGTCAAACATAGTATTAATCACATCGCTAAGGTCAATAGTAAATTAGAACATTCAACCAATAACTAACTTAAAAAAACTTTTCAACGGGCTAAGAGTGTAGGCTTTTGTAAAACAAAATTGTATTTTAAAAGATTTATGAGGTTTTTGTCTTTTCTGTGATGATTTAAAACTAACACTTTATGAAATATAGATGATTTTAGTGAGGTATGAGATATGAGATATTATAATAATTGGTAATGTTACATATTTGTATATATAGATTTGTATGTATGTTTTAGATGATGATGATAACGTTAATAAAAGGGATGAACATTTTCCCAGCCTTGTCGGAGACCTAGCTCGAACAAGGTGGAGATTCCCCGAATGGTTCGGGATGGGATGGGACGGGGTCCGAGACAAAATTCAATCCCCGAATTTAGGGGCGGGTATATATATATATAATTACCATTTTAATAATTAATTGTTTTTCATTATTAATTGATCAAATTCAAATGTGATTATAATAACATAATTGTAGGAATATTAAGTGAAATGATATACAAATGAGTAATAAATAATAATAGATAAATTGTCTATATTAAATGTAATAAATCATAATAAATATTTTTAATACATAATAAATATGTTAGATATTTATAATGTACCATTTCATATACATAATATATATGTCGTATATTAATAATGTATAATACATATGTATTATATATCATATGTATTATATATTATACATTATACATAATATGCTATTATCCTTAATCATTTGATATTTTGATTCATTATAATAAATTAATAAATCATTATAAATATTTTTAATTCAAAAAAAAAAAATAAAAAAAAAAAAAAAAAAAATTAAAAAAAAAAAAATATATGTTATATATTAATAATATATAATATATAATACATATGTATAATGTATTATATATATTATACATAATATGCTATGAAACAAAATTTATACATTATATATTATACACTATAATAAATTATTATAATATATAATATATAATTTATAATATATCACATGTTAATACATAATATATGTTAATTCCATAACATATCATATGTTAATACATAATATAAATGTTAATTCCATTATCTAATTACCCTTGTTATATTTGATAATTACGGATTTGCCCTTCATATGTAAACACAAAATTTGCCCACTAACTCTTACACAATTCATCGGTCAAACCCTAAATCCCTAATCTGCTATTGCCGTCCATTTGTCCTTCATTGGAATCATCGCCTCTTCGCCGACTTTGGCCTCCAAAAATCATCATAAATCATTTTGGGTGAAGTTTCATTTCATACCCAATTGCAGGAAGTAATTTTTGTTCAAGAAAGGAAGGGTGACGATCGAAGTTGTAGCCGAACAAAGGCGGCACTAAAGGGTGGCCAGTCGGTGGAGATTTCCTCTTAAGAGCTTCAGATTCTTCCTTATTTTTTTTTTACCTAAACTAGGCTGAGCTTCTGTGGACCTTGAATCTTGTGTCTATTCTTTTTTTTGTAAGTTTTCTCTTCCATTATCTATTGATGTACTATCAGTTTAATTGTTTCTACTTCTCTTGCTTTTTCTTAGGTTTAAAAATTAGTTCTTTCAACATTTTGTTATCTGGGTATTGCTTGTTTTTGAGTGTTTTTTGTATTTTTGTTCTTCAGTATGAGCCAGTTTTGCTTTGTTTTGTTTTGATCATTGCAATTTTTATATGAATTTCTATTGAGCTTTCTGAAATTTGCAATTTTTATATGAATCTTGGTTATGGGCTAGAATATTTACCCAACGAGAATAAAAATTGGAAGGATAGAGATCAAATCAGCTTAAGTGTTCAATTCCTTTAGGGGGTGTTTGGTTGGGGGTTATGTAGGATTACTGGGGTAATGTCATCTTATATTACTTGATTACCACGTTTGGTTGTCAAAGTAATATAAGATTCTGGTAATCCTCAAATATCAATAGTAGTTACTATTGGTAATATAGAAGGTAATCTGATTACCTCCATTTTCTTAGGTATTCTAAGATTACCAGGGTAATCTTTTTTTGTTACAATTCTATCCCTTATTAATAAAATTATAAGACAATAATGCCCTTGTTATCTAAACAATTTACAAAAAAGTTATGGACATTTTTAACCTTATACACAAAATTTTTAACCCGTTTATACCCTCCAACTTCAACAAAATTAAAAATTCTCAACTTGATTACTGCGTGAAATCCCCAAACCTAACTCCTTTATTCTTCATCTACCAAATTAATTACCCACTTTTTCCACAGTTGAACACAAACCCAATTGCATTTAACTTGAGCTTCCTTTCATCTTCAGATCAAGTGGAGTGCGTCTTCTGCGAATTTCGTAATTCGTCTTCACTTCCAGGAAATCGTCTTTCCTTGAATCTCTGCCGTCTTCTCCCGCCGAATCGAGGTACTGATCTAGTTTTTAGCTTCATATCCATAAATATGTTAGTGAGCCTTAAAATGCAAATTGAGCCATAATTCGTTTGTTTTGGTTGGGTGTATTGTTATTTAGAGTTGATTGACTGTAATACAGTAATGCATTTATGTTTGGGTTGCATTCTTGAATCTTCGTTGTTCCTTGAATCTCTGCTGTTGTGATGTCTTTGCTGAAGGTCAAGTGGTTGCATTCTTGATTGGGGAGTTTTCCCAAGTGTCCACTGCGTTTGGGTTGCCTGGTGTGATGTTTGCAGGGGTGTAGGTTGCATCTTGGAGTTTTGTTGGTTGTTTTGTGCTGGGGGAGGTTTTGTTTCCTGCTGATTTCTGTTTGGCCTGACCGTTTATGGTTTTTGTCCAACCGTTTTTTCTTTGATGATTTGTATAGGCATCATGGCTGGCTATGTTGGTTTGGATGTATTCTTGTATACATTTACTTGTGAAATAATATATAATTTATAGATTATATTCACACATTTTATTAATGTGTTATCCTAAATTTCTTTATATTCATTATGTATATAAAATTGGGCAATTAGTATTGAATCTTTATTACTTTTTTTGTAGCATTACGACAAACCTCTTCAGCTCTCCATAAATCATACAACTATTTACATTTTGTCTGAACTTGGTAAATATTCCAACAGAAATTTAAGTTCCCTGTCTCTTTCTTTGTACCAACCCATTGTAATTAATAAGGTTTTGGTTTGTTGTAGCTATTTTTCAACACTCTTGTTTGAAGAAAGAGACATCAGGCTTTCATTTGTTCCTGCTGTAAATATTCAGATTCCTGCCCATCATTTTGAATAGGTATAATTTTTGTTTTTGAACCCACTGTTGTACCTGCCTTTTGCTTCTCAAATTAAATGCATGTCTTTACTAGTTTGAACATGGTAAAAGCGTAGATTTGTTTCTCTTATTTCTTACAAATTGGCTTGATAACAAGTAATCGTTACATCATATGTTGTTCTAGTATTCTTCAAGTTTTAAGCCTAATGTTTTGGTGTTGAATTGAAATCTAGTTTCAGGATGTTGGAGTTGTTTGAAATTTGTGTATGTTATGTCCTCTTCCCTCAAATATGACAGTAATCCAATGTTCCTCTGTGGACAACAATGACTCGTTTAACTAAAAGGTTGAAGCATTTGGTGTCACTTATGATGATGTATTTTCATTTGATGGACACCTTAAACACCATGCTAGTTTTTATGACGATTGCCTTGCTGCTGAAGAATAGGAATAGACATAGACGAGGCATATCATATGCGGGTAACTTTAGCAGTAACCATACCATTAGGACTCTCAATTTATGGAAAATGATTTTTGAAGATGATAACCAATGTGTAGTAAACTGTAGAATGAATATAACAACTTTGAAAAAATTATGTGCGTTACTTCAACGTGAAAGGGGGTTAAAATCAAGTAGAAATACATCTGTAGAGGAAATGGTGTGTAGTTTTCTTCACATTTGTGCACACCATATCAAGAACAAAGTCTTTAGTCGCCAGATAGCTAGGTTCGGGGAGACAGTTGGCAGAAATTTTCATGCAGTGTTGAACGCTGGAAATGGTTCAAGGTACATAATGAAGAACCTAAACAATATATTATGGCTGTTTTTATGTAGG